ATGACATCAATCAAGATTGTTTATATTAAAATTCAAAATCTGATTAGTAAAGAGATAAATACTTTAAACAATGGAATCAGTGGCTTAGAAATCTTGTTCTGATCGTGTGCGATGTAAAAGACTATTTCATAACAGCTCCCCATGTGTGCACACGACAGGGCCCAAAACGTGCTAAAAACGTTATTCAGAGAGTTTCACGGCTCCAGAAGCTTTAGAAAGTGACTTTTCGATCATTCGCCTACCAATGCTAAGTGTGTTGCTGTAAATTGACTTTTTTCACATAGGTATGATGAAGAATGACATCAATCATGATTGTTTATATTAAAATTCAAAATCTGATTAGTAAAGGGACTAAATACTCAAAACAATGGAATCAGTTGCTTAGAAATCTTGTTCTGATCGTGTGCGATGTAAAAGACTATTTCATAACAGCTCCCCATGTGTGCACACGAAGGTGCTATACAGGTGCTAAAAACGTTATTCAGAGAGTTTCACGGCTCCAGAAGCTTTAGAAAGTGACTTTTCGATCAATCGCCTACCAAAGCTAAGTGAGTTGCTGTTAATTTAATCTTTTCACATGGATATGATAAGAATGACCTCAAACTTGATTTCTTATATTAAAATTCAAAATCTGATTAGTAAAAGGAATAAATACTCAAAACAATGGAATCACTTGTTTAGAAATCTTTTTCTGATCGTGTGCGATGTAAAAGACTATTTCATAACAGCTCCCCATGTGTGCACACGAAGGTGCTATACAGGTGCTAAAAACGTTATTCAGAGAGTTTCACGGCTCCAGAAGCTTTAGAAAGTGACTTTTCGATCATTCGCCTATCAAAGCTAAGTGTGTTGCTGTTAATTTACTTTTTTCACATTGATATGATAAGAACAATATCAAACATGATTGTTTATACTAAAATTCAAAATCTGATTAGTAAAGGGACAAAAAGTCAAAACAATGGACACAGTTGTTTTGAAATCTTGTTCTGATTGTGTGCTATGGAAAAGACTATTTCATAACAGCTCCACAAGTGTGCACACGAAGGAGCCCTAAAGGTGCTTAAAAACGTTATTCAGAGAGTTTCACGCCTCCAGAAGCTTTAGAAAGTGACTTTTCGATCATTCGCATGCACAAAGCTCAGTGTGTTGCTGTTAAATTACTTTTCTCACATGAGTATGATGAAGAATAACATCAAACATGTATGTTTAGATTAAAATTCAAAATTTGAATACTAAAGAGATAAATACTTTAAACAATGGAATCAGTTGCTTAGAAATCTTGTTGTGATCGTGTGCTCCGAAAAAGACTATTTCATAACAGCTCCCCATGTGTGCACACGAAGGAGCCC